TTTGAAAAACAATTATACTACAATATAATATAAGTTATTTTATAAAAACATTTATAATTTCTTTTTTTTATACTATAATTATTATATTTTTTAATATGTGTAAAAAGTTAAAAACGACTTATAATAAAAAAGATAAAATATTTCAAATAATAATAACTATTTAATATAATTTATTAAAACTAATTTACTAAGTGAATCAAATATATTAAAAACTATTAAATATAGTCTTCAATTTCATTGAATTTAAGAGAATTTAAAATAGAAATATCTAATGAAAATAAAGTTAGGATAGCACATAAATGGAAAGGTAAAATATGCATAAATAAAATTTATTGATATTTTTAATAAATAATTAAGGTCATCATAAATGCAATCATATCAGATTTATTGTAACATCAAATCCTTTAAAATATTCTCAAAATTTCTACTCAATTACATTTTCATCACATCAGTCAATTGAATATTCTTTTTTTTCTTTCTTATTCTTCACTATTTGACATCAAATTTAAACAATAAAATTCACATTTTTATTTTTTCTTCACTCTTTCACAGCAAATTTGGACAAGATGTGTGCAGTTTATAATGGATAGTTACTGCTCCAAATGGTGGTAATCATGTTGTAGTCAAATCTAACTTTTATTTGACTGAAACAATTTCTTTTAAATGAATCAAATAATATTGTAGTTCAAAATTAGATGTAAACAACACCTCATTTTTTAATGGAATCATCAAGGTTGCAAACCAGCAAACCAGTTTCTAACTCCCTTCACACCATTACCTAATTTTTATTATAAGGGGGCGCCATGGAGTATGGCTCCCCTTCATTAAGATATAAGGGAGCGCCGTGGGGTATGGCTCCCCTGTGACATGGGTAAGAAAGATCACTTTTTGAATGCATGCAAAATGACATGTGTACGAAATTTACTACACATCAATCTCTTTTCTACACAAATTCATCTATTTCATTAACTTCTCTACACATCAATCAATATTTCAACTACACAAATTTAATTTTTACCTCTGCAACCATAAATTCAAATTTCAAATTCAAAATTTTTACTATAAATACTACTCCTCCTCGTTCCAAAAAAACACATCAAATATATCCAACAATTCAAATTCTCCCATATATTTCCCTCATATATCCACACTATAGAAGTCATGTCTCTGTTAACATTTGGTGAAACGCATAGAGGAACACCAAGCAACATCGCGTCTTATGTAAGTAGTTGTACTTGATAATTCACAATGTTCTAATTTCTTGTTTTTACAAATACAATATTCTAATTTCTTGTTTGTTTTTAATGTAGAATACTCATGACTTTCGTACTCGTGGGCATAAACATTTCCCACATGACCCGTTAATTCAACCTTTTTTGGAGCGCGCGGGATTTGGAGAAGTAATTAACATTACAAATTATCTCCTTGATAAATTTCTCTACATAAATTTCTCTACAAGAAAGGTGGCGTCCCGAGACGCACACATTTCATCTTCCAATAGGTGAATGTGCAGTTACACTCGAGGACACATACATGTTATTGGGTTTACCCATAGATGGTAAGGCGGTAAACGGTATAACCAATCCTAGCGGTAGTGTCATAGGAGAACTCTTAGGGGTTGAACCAACCCCACGAGATATGAGGGGCCAAAAAATTTTAATGTCATGGCTCAAAAAAATTTATAGAGACTTGAGATTAACTCTAGAGTTCCTGAAATATTAAAAATTAGAAAAACTCAAATTTATATTAAAATAAAAACATATAGGTGGTCTTCGCTTGGAATGAATTATGACTGATCACTTGGGTCAAGATGATGTATACTCACAAACCTTACTATTTATGTTATTCTCTACTTTAATATTATTAGAAAATACTTAATATTAATTTTCTCCTCTTACAGTTCATTTGGCGGCCATATCTTGGTCTAGAAGCCTTTCATGAAGTTGAACGACAAGACTCTGCGGTGTGGAGTGCAAAGGTGCCGATTATCAACTTCACCACCGTGGAAATGCACAACAGTGATCGTGTGAAACTTCAATTTGGAATGCTTCAAGATATTCCATGTCCACCAAAGTGCATCCCGACAAATATCACACCTGTAAAGTCTCCGACCAATGGGAGTATAATCCGTGGACCAAGTATGCAAAACACGAGTGTCGTGAATGGAGGCATCGCAACAACTATGTTTTGTCCGACACTGTGTTTCCATACGAGATGAAACAATCAATACAATACATGACTTGGTATAGGTCTGTATCAATTGGTTTCATTTCACATCCAAGGTATCTAGTTGAACCACGCCAACAAGATTCATCATCAAGGCCCCAACAACCAACCCAGCCCTATTTCCAACCGCCAACCCAACCTCATTGCCAACCATCAACCCAATACCATTTCCAACCGCCAACCCAACCTCATTTCCAACCATCAACCCAATACCATTTTCAACCGCCAACCCAACCCTATTTTCAACCGCCAACCCAACCCTATTTTCAACCCCCACTCACACAATCACAACAATATGAACATACCCCTAACCAATTCACTCCATTCACACAAACTCATTCACAATCCACACAATACCACACATACTTCATGGATACTACAAACCAAATAAACACCCAGTTTCAAACACCCAATCAACCCATACCCACCCAATCATGTACACCCATCCCACCCTACGATCAGGCAGGCTATCGTCCTGACATTGCCTCGTCTAGCCAACCACCCTAAAATAACTATGAAGGCATGGACAACTCTTTTGATTTGGATGACTTTACGGATATGGACCCGTCTTCATGGGCCGAAGTGATTCAATTGCTTGAAGACGACACAATGGACCCAACTCCACAACAAAGACCACAACAAAACGTACGTGATCGGGGATGCGGTACGGGCGAACATTTAAACCGACCACGGCGTAGAAACTAGTTTACAATATCTTTCATATTTGTGATTCAATAATTATTGTAATTATTATTTAATATTAAATTTATTAAATACAATTTGATTTTTTTATTATTTGAAATTTTTTAATGCTATTATAAATTATTATTTATTTATTATTTCTAAAATAAATAAAAATTATTCAGAAATTATTATTATATAATTATTTTTTAAAAAATATTTTTTATTTATTAAATATTATTTATTAAATATTTTTAAACTAATTATACATTAAAAATTATAAAAAAAAAATCAAATTTAAGGGAGGAGCCAAAGGGGATGGCGCCCCCTTTATAATTTATAGGGCGCCTCCATCCTGGATGGCGCCTCCATATAAATTATAAGGGAGGAGCCATACCCCATGGCGCCTCCTTGTAAAAAAAAAAAACGAAACTTGGGTAGATTGGAGAATATGAGGGAAAGTTGGGTAGTTTGGATATTAAAGGGGGGAATGTTAGTTATTTGGGTGAAATTTTCTAATTTTAACATTAAAAAAAAATGGAATCATCAAGGTTACAAACCAGTTTCTAACTCCCTCCACACCCATAAGTAAATAATTGTTGGTTGATCCATAGCCTTGTTCATCCTTTATTTCAATCATACACCCAGCTTCCTCCACTAATATATTGATCTTCTTTCAATATTGCTACCCAGCTTCCACTAATAATATCATAAATAATGTTAATAATAAAAAAAACAAAAGAAAAACTTTTACATAGGGCTGGAAATGAGTCGAGTCGAGTCGAACTCACCTCAGCTCGGCTCGACTCGTTAAGAATTGTTCGAATTCGAGTTCGAGTTCGAGTTCGACACGAACTTTTTTTTAAGCTCAAACTCGACTCGTTATAAGTTCACGAACAGTTCGATTCGACTCGTTAGGTTCATCTCATTAGGTTCAGCTCACATGGTTCACGAACTTAAAAACTATTTTTAAAAAAATATATATTTTTTAGTATATTTGACATTTTAAATAAATATATATTTTTTAAATAAAATATTAAAATAAAATAAAAGTTATCATATTGATATTTAACTTTATCTTCGAAATCTACTAATTCAAAACCTACACAACTTTCAAGAGATACATTTGAGAGTCTAACTCAAAAACTACTAAATTGAAGATTAAATTTGTCTAAGATTTGAAGTAAATATTTAAACCTAATCTTAAAGACAGTATAATTCTTTTCATATGTAATCGAGTTGACTCATGAACCTAACGAGTCGAACTATGTATAGTTCAAGTTCAGCTCATTTAGTTAACGAACTTAATTTTTCGCTCATACTCAACTCATTTGGTTCATGAACCTAGTTCAACGATTTAATTGTCGAGTCGAATTCCGAACTATCTTCGAGTTGGTTTGGTTCATTGCCAGCCCTTTTTACACACACAAAAGAAGAATGAAGCCACAACTAAGAGCATAAATATCGCATTATTTAGACCGTTCCTGAATATTTAATGTTTATGAACGTTCTCCTATTTACAACGCTTGCATAATAAGCAACGCCTCTTATCATTTAATTAATGCATTTATATTTATTTTTTATTTAAAAGTACTGCAACATAATTAATTGCAACGGTAACAAAAAATTAACTGGTAATAAATTTCAGTATTAATATAATAATAAATTAAAAATCCAACGGTAATAAATTTTAATTTCAAATGATAATATTTAATTATTATTATTATTAGTATAAATAGATTACTCATTCATCCAATATTTCACTCACATCTACTTTAAATTTGACCAATTTATTTTATTTCATTTTAGTTTTTGTCTACATATTTCTTTTCACAATGAATCCTTATCAAAATAACACTTGGTCCAATTTTATGCAAAATGATGGAAGTCCTCCTAGTCTTCCAAATCAATAAAACAACTCATATTTTGGAAATGCACCTCTTATCCCAAATCCAAACCTTAAATCAAATTTTCAACACTCTTTTTTTATCCGAAATCCACAAAATGGCCCTCGCTTTGGAAATTACCCCTATCATACACCACCTTACCCATATCAATATCAACAATTTAAATCTCAATCAATTAACCCCAATATGTCTCATGTGGTTCAAATAGGTAGTAGTGTTGTGCAATCAAATGATCAAGAAGATAAAACACCACATTTTTGCACTCAAGTTAGTATAGAAAATGCTAACCATGTTGAAGAAGTTGCATCTGCACCAGTTGTGAATACGTCTAAACAAAGGTTCCAACAAAAAGAGGATGAAATTCTTATTCAGTCATGGCTCAACGTTTCAAAGGATTCAATTGTTGGGGTTGATAAAAAAGGAGATAGTTTTTGGAAGAGAACTTGAGAAGCTTTTAACAAGCATCGTGACATCAATTATAAAGAGAGGAAACCGATGACACTAAAAGGGAGATGGCATAAAATAAATCCATTCGTTCAAAAGTTTGTTGGATGCTACAAACAAGTTGTATCTACATAGAAAAGCGGGAGCTCTGAGAACAATATCATGCTGCGTATAAAATTTATTTCCAAGATGAAGGTGAAAAGTTTACATTTGAGGCTGCATGGAGATTATTGAAAGATGAACCTAAATGGCTCGTAGGTTCATCAGAAGCTTCTGCAAAAAGAACAAAGAATTCAATTTCAGGAGCATACTCCTCATCTTCTAATCCAATAACACTAATGAGCAATGAATATAATCCACCATCACCTACTATGTCACGTCGTCCAATTGGTCAAAAGGCGGCCAAAAGGAAGGAGAAAGAAAAGCTTGTGGAAATGTCTTCTACTCCCAATGTTAAATATGATTCTTTGAAAGATGACTTCAAAAAAAAAGAATTTGATGTCAATGTTTGCACGAGACTATGCATGTATTGAGGGTGAAAAAGTTGAGATAGAGAGAAAAAAGATTGATGCAAAGATTAAGAAGGTTGAGAATGAAGAGGAAAGATTGAAGATGAATGATCTGCAGACACTCTCAAAAGATACATCAAATATGGATACAAGACAACTAAAAGCACATGAAATATTGTGTGACATGATTAGAGAAAAATATGGATTTAATTAGTATGATTATGTATTTTGGATTTAATTGATATGAACTTAATTAGTATGATTATGTATTTTGAATTTAATTGAGATGAACTTAATTAATATGATTATGTATTTTGGATTTAATTAATATGAACTTAATTAGTATGATTATGTATTTTGGATTTAATTGATATGAACTTAATTGAATTTAATTCAAACTAACCGTTATTCAAACTAGTCGTTATTCAAAGTCAAACTAGCCGTTATTCAAACTAGTCTTATAAATAGTATTAACATGCACACTAAGCTTCATAGTTCTTCTTTTCATTGTCTACCTCTTTCATTCTCTACAATTTATTATCATCTTCTACTCAATATCAAACTTTTTTTACATGGATCCTTCCAATCCTTCCCATATTGCAAAAATGTTCATGGATGATATGAATGATGATATGGATGAAGAACTTGTGAGACTATTTATGAAAGAAGAAGCCTCGAGCTCTAAAAGGCCCAGACGTCAAAGAAGGAATATAGAGAGGAATCTTGAAGAGGGACATGATCGATTATTTATTGATTATTTTTCTGAAACTCCGGTATACACGAATGGACAATTTTGTCGAAGGTACCGAATGCAGAAACATGTGTTCCTTCGCATCGTTGAAGCTCTAGGTCAACATGATGAGTATTTTTGAATGATGGTTGATGTAACTGGTAGGTCAAGTCTTTCACCATTATAGAAATGCACTGCTGTTATCCGTATGTTGGCATATGGAACATCTGCTGATAGCGTGGATGACTATTTGAGAATTGGTGAAACCACAACACTAAAATGTGTAACAAGTTTACAAAAGGAGTGGTCAACATCTTTGGGGCACAATATTTACGAAGGCCAAACGCTGAAGACATTGAACGCTTAATGCGAATGGGGGAGGCACGAGGATTTCCTGGTATGTTAGGAAGCATTGATTGTATGCATTGGGAATGGAAAAATTGTCCAGTTGCATTGAAAGGGCAGTATGTTCGAGGCGATCATGGGAAACCAACTGGTATGCTTGAAGCGGTGGCTTCACAAGACTTATGGATTTGGCATGCATTCTTTGGGGTAGCGGGTTCAAACAACAATATTAATGTGTTGAACCAATCCAATGTCTTTAACGATGTTATGCAAGGACGAGCTCTCGAGGTTCATTATACAATCAATCATACTGAATACAACAAGGGGCTATTATCTATTAGATGGTATTTATCCTGAATGGGCAATGTTTGTGAAAAGTATCCCGATGCCACAAGGGGATAAGAGAAAATTGTTTGCCCAACATCAAGAAGGTGCAAGAAAGGATATTGAACGAGCATTTGGAGTTCTCCAATCCCGATTTGCAATCATATGTAACCCAACACGATCTTGGCACTTAGACACACTCCAGCTCATAATGAATACATGCATCATATTACACAACATGATTGTTGAAGATGAACGTGCCACATATGGTGGAAATTTTGATTTTCCTTATAATCATTTTAGTACTGGCGTGACAATATTGTCGAATGATTTTAATATTGATTTTCAAGAGTTCGTACGCAGAAGATTTGATGTGCGTAATAAACAAGTTCATCGACACCTTCAACAAGATTTGGTATAGCATATATGGCAACGTTATGGGCATGAGAATAACAACAATTAAAAATTATTTTAAATATATCGCTTTCTTGTATTTTGTGCTAGTAATTTATTTTAATGTTTATATTTTTTAATATATGTTTTTAATAAATTATTTGTGTCATGTATTGTGTTTTTTAATATATTTATTTACTTATATATATATATATATATATATATATATATATATATATATATATATATATATATATATATATATATATATATATATATATATATATATATATATATATATATATATATATATATATATATATTTACTTTGATTTATTTTTAATGTATAATTTTTTAATGTTTTTGATATATTTTACTTATATTTTTAATGGTGAAACCCATTTTAGAATTTTTGATAAGTTGTTGGGATATTTGAAAAATGTAGTAGAGTTGTTTAGAAAATGAAAAGGTGTAATATAATATAAAAATTGAGTGGGTCTCATTTAAAGAACTCAAATGGGAATGATGGTTGTGGATACTCTAAAAAGCTCATAGTAAAACAACCTGAAAAGCAAAAGCTTTAAATTCAAAAAGTGTTATCACTAACATACTTGATGTTATTTTAATATATACTTTTTCTTCTTTGTATCTCCATCTTCAGATCTATGTACAACCTAACAAAGCAAAAGAAGGGAAGATGATGTTAAAAAGAGGTGATGAAACAAGAAAAATCCAAATCCAAAAAAAATGCAAAAAAAAAAAAGACAACTAAATATAAATAAAGTTGGTGTAAACTCGTGATTTTTTCTTCTCTGTATCTCCATCTCCATATCTATGTATAACCTAACAAAACAAAAGAAGGAGAAATGATGTTAATAAGAGGTGGTGAAACAAAAAAAATCCAAATCCGAAAGAAAAAATGCAAAAAAAATAAAATAAAGACAACCAATGGCAAATAAAGTTGGTGTAAACTCAGAAAGATAAAAGTATTGATACCTTAAAAAACAAAATCATCCAAAGTTAGTGAAAACATGAAGAAAAAAAATATAAAGATTAAAATAAAAATCAGAGGCTAACATAGTAAACCCAGAAAGTGTTATCACTAACCTTCTTGATGCTATTTTAATATATATTTTTTCTTCTTCGTATCTCCATCTCTAGATCTAAGTACAATCTAACAAAACAAAAGAAAGGGAAATGATGTTAAAAAGAGGTGACGATAGGAGGTGGTGAAACAAAAAAAATCCAAATCCAAAAGAAAAAATGCAAAAAAAATAAAGACAACCAATGGCAAATAAAGTTGGTGTAAACTCAGAAAGATAAGAGTATTGATACCTTAAAAAAAAATCATCCAAAGTTAGTGAAAACATGAAGAAAAAAAATATAAAGATTAAAATAAAAATCAGAGGCTAACATAGTAAACCCAGAAAGTGTTATCACTAACCTTCTTGATGATATTTTAATATATATTTTTTCTTCTTCGTATCTCCATCTCTAGATCTAAGTACAACCTAACAAAACAAAAGAAAGGGAAATGATGTTAAAAAGAGGTGACGATAGGATTATTAACTTTTTGTACCTATTTTCACTTACATTACTGATGTTGTCTTCTTCTTATCTCCAGATCTACGTTATCCTCGTTTCATTCTTCTTATTTCCAAATCTATGTACAATCTGAAAATTAAAAAAAAAAAACAAAGAGTGTAAGAGAAAAAGAGACAGATAAGAGGGTTGAGAAAGAGAATGAAAAAGGAAAAAGAAAATTTGAGTACAAATGATAGAAAAAGAGAAAGAAGAGGAAGATGAAGAAGAAGTAGTGAGAGAGAAAGAGAGAAATGATTTTGTGTGTGTGTGTGTGTGTGAGAGAGAGAGAGAGAGAGAGAGAGAGAGGATAGTAGAAAGAGAAAGAGAAAATAGACCGTAAATTTATTAAGAAGAGTGAGAAGAAGAGATGAAATATTAAAAAATGAGAATGACTGGTTGATTACCACATAAGCCAAACGGGTAAATGTTATAAATGATATCTAAGTGTATCATTTAAAGCTTTGGAATAGATATTTAAATTATTTTAAATATTGTTTTATGTATTACCTTATTATTTATTCAAGAACACTTTGATGAAATTATTTAAAATTCTCTTCGAGCTTAATCAACAATTTTGGACTAAAATTCAATCGTAAAGACACATGACAATATTAAATTTTTTTGAAGGTTGCATACATTTTTAACAAAAAAGTATACTTATTAATTTATTTTTGTCAAAGACTCACGCGTCAACTTTTCACTTAATTAAAGGTTTTGGATTTAAATTTGTAGTTTATGGATTATAAGCTAGTGTTGTAGCAAACTTTGTCGAAGTCGAAGTCGAAGAGCTAGTGTAGCTGTCGAAAATATGTTAGGTTATTAGCATGTCGAATTGTGGTAGTATGTTAGGTCAATTTTTTAGTATGTTAGTTGAAAGCTAGAGTTTAGTTTTTTTTTTCTATAAATAGCATATTAGTCCTCACTTCTCAATAATTCTGATAAGGGGAGAAAGTGGTGTGGTTGAGTTTCAATTGTAAACATTTTCTAATGTATAATTGAATCAAGATCTATGGTTTTATACCACTTTGAATTATCTTTCTCTTTTCTTTTCACTTTTTTCTCACCTTGTGATCTTCTTGTTGTTAAAGAAATTGATCATACTCTGTTTTTTGGGCACC